ATTATATAGATGGTCTAACTTTTTTAGAAGGTATTAATTAAATGTTTATAGGCCAATTTTGCTTTAGAAAATCAAGGTACTACTCTGAAGGATCTATCTAATTTATTAGATAAAACTCAAGCTATTTATTCTCAAGGTAATTTCTTTATGATATTCTAAAATTATATATTTCTATTAGTAAAGGATATTGTCACATTGAAACTTGATGCCCAACTCTTGGCATCACTTGCTAAAACATTTGAAAAATATGTTGAAGATAATCCAATTTGTGAAGATTTATATCCCAAATATGACCCAGATAAATGGGCTAAAAAATTGGTATACTAGCATTTATGTTAAATTATTATATGATTAATTAAAGAAAAAAACTATAAATTGTTCTGAAATCAATCAACAATTTTGGAATAATTTAAGTGGCCATATTCACTTTAACTTAACTGAACCTTTTAATTTTATGTGAGAAATAATGTTATTTATTAAGCATTAATCATGAATTTAAAAGGTATGGGACTAATCTTCAAACTTTCACTGAAAATCAGAATCTGATAACAAATCAATCCACAACATCAGGTTCAAAACAAGATTTAAAATCTGATAAAAACACAACAAGAATAAATTATAAAGAAGACCGGAATAAAAATGAAAATTCTCTGAGGCGAGCAACTAAAATAAATCAATCACAAATCTTTAATTCTAATAATCCAAATGACACGACTACAAATAATGAAGTTGAAAAAATTTATAAAATTCTGTACAAAAATGTGGACCAAGATAACACTGTGCCCTTTTGGCCTCTAGTTGTGAACACAATCTCTTTTGAAAAAACAATTCTAAATATTTTCCACATATCTTTTTTATTGAAGGATGGACATGTCACTCTTTTAATCAACAAAAATGATAAGGTTAATGATACACATGATACATCTGAAGAGGAGGGAATTGATAGACTTGTGGGTACATATCAACCTAGACTAAAACTTTTACAGTCTAATGAAGAGATTCAAGTTGACTTAGCTGATGATTTACCTGAAAATAATCAATTTCTTTTTACTTGTTTGGAATTAACAAAAAACCAATGGACACTTTTAAAGCGTGTTGTTAAGCCCATTAATTAAAATAATAACATTGATCAGATCATTTTAATTATAAATTTTCTTGTACAGATAAAAGAAATACAATACTCAATCAAGAAATTATTTTTTGATAATTGATGAACACTAAAAAAGAAATTTTATATAATATATATACACAATTAAAAATAAATATAAAATACATTAAAGAAATAAAATTTGAGAGAGATATAGGCACAGATAAAACTATCTCTTTGAGAATTTCAATTAGAAAATTTAGGGGGATTATCTATTAGACTGCTTACTTCATTTTATATAGCTTAAAACAGAATTTTATGAGCCATGGTCTAGGATTAACTTGATATAATCGAAGAGATAGCTCAAAACATTTATTTTGATGATCTATTACAAGAATATTTGCTAACTGCGAATGCAAGGTTATACATTTTTATAATGTAGAATTAAAATTTGTGAATCCATATCTTAAAAGTTTAGAATTTAACATATGTTACAGCTATCTTTAATAATCACTTTGCATATTTTTATAAAATTTTAAGCAGGATAAAAGGAATAACGATTATTAAAATGAAAATATCGATTTGTTTTTTGTTTGGACTGTAATTTTATTTTAACATGTTAACAATTTATATTTTTGTCCAATTGCGTCAAACAATTCAAAAACTTTAAAAATAACGATTATGACTATTGTCACTTATCTAGGGTATATCTTCACTGAAATATTATTTTAACATGTTAGCAATTTATATTTTAGCCCATTTGCTTCAAAAAAATTAAAAAAACTTTTAAAAATAACGATTATGGCAATTGTCACTTTTATATGGTACATCTTCATTTTTAACTTGACATTTTTACAATCTATATTTTTACCCTTTTGTATCAAAATATTTCAAAAAACTCTAAATACAACGATTATGACAATTGTCACTTATCTATGGTACATCTTCATTGATATTTTATTTTAACATGTTATCATTTTCTATTTTTGCCCATTTGCTTCAAAAAAATTCAAAAAACTTTAAAAATAACGACTATGACAATTGTCACTTATCTAAGGTACATCTTCAATGAAGTTTTATTTAAACATGTTAGCAATTTATTTTTTTGCCCATTTGCGTCAAAAAAATTCAAAAAACTTTAAAAATGATTATGACAATTGTCACTTATCTTGGGTACATCTTCACTGAAGTTTTATTTAAATATGTTATCATAACTTATTTTAACCGATTTACGTCAAAAAATTTAAAAATAACGATTATGATAATTGTCACTTTTATATGGTGCATCTTAATTAAAATTTTAATTTAACATGTTAAAAAAATATATATTTTACCGTAAAAAAAATCTAATATGTTTAAAAATACCGATTATGATAATGGTTATTTTTCCAAGGAACATCTTCAATAACGAATATAAAAATTATCAGATTTAATTATTATCCTTAAAACGATCATATAGATAAATAAGTTAAATAAAAATATTTTTAAAAAATATTATTTAGAAAACCCACTTCTTTTAATATACTTAAAAAATAGATAATTTTACAAAAATGATTAAAAAAACTAAAAAAAGATTTCACCTAAAAGATTGTTTATTTATAATAAAATTCACAAAAGAATTCCTCAAAAAAGATTTATTTACAAAGAAGATTTAAAATTTTTATCAAAATATGTTCAAAAATCTTTTTAAACTTCAAAAAATATTTTTTGCTTAAAATTTTGGTCGTGAAAATCACTAATAAATTGTAACAAAAATAATATTACAATAGTAGTATATCATTTTTTTTATTAAAAAAATATCAAATAAAAGAAATTCATCTTTCATTTCATAATATAATAATATAAATAAAAAATATATATCATATAATATGTTTATTTGTTGATAAATAAAATATTAATATTAACATTAAATATAAATAAAATAAATTATTTTAATAAAAAATAATAATAGGCCGCGCTATATTTCGCAAAATAGTTTTCGCTATATTATCTTCGCGATTTATGTTTCGTGATATTGACTTCGCTATAAAATTTTCGCGATTATTGATTAGCGATAAAAATTTTGCTCTAATGTATTCGCTTTAAAGGTTTTGCGATAAGAGTTTCGCTATTTATAAAAACTTTCAGGTTTTTCTTCGGTGAATGATGTGTAAAGACATATGGTAAGATGAATTTCGGAGCTTAGAGATGACACCCCGGTCACCGACAGGCCTGGACAGCCAGGTACTAAGGAAACTTGTCTAATAAACAAAATGAAGGAAACAAATGAAAATATGAATATGAAAGCTAGGGCGTTCCCTCCAAGCGACGCGCAGCGTGTAGACCTCTATCCTGCAAAAAGTAAAATAAAGGTCAAAGCAAAGAAGACAAGGTTAGCAAGTTTGAATATTGGGACACTTAAAGGTTAAGCCACAAAAAGGTTCCCGGAAAATATATAAGAATAATACAGGACATGTATATGGGCCATACAACAATGGTCCGTAGCACAACAGGTACTTCAGTAGGCTTCACAATAGCCGAAGGAGTTCATCAAGGGTCGGCTCTCAGTTTCTCTTTATTACAGTAATAGATGTATTAGCACAGTCTATACCTCAAACAGCCCTGTGGAATATAATATTTGCAGATGATATTGTGATACTTGCCGAATCCAAGGATGAAATGAAAGAAAGATTAGTGAGTTGGATAAATATCCTAGAAAAGCACAAGTAAATAGAGAAAAGACGGAATATATGGTGATAGGAGGAGATGAACAGATAGTATTGATATAAATGAATGGCAGATATCGGCAATTTAAAACTGCAAATATTTGGTCTCCACTATACAAACAAATGGCACAATAGAAAAAGAGATAAAGAGTAAAATTAATCAAGGGTAGTTAAAGTAAAGATCTTTATCCGGAGTGA